TTTTTGGGGTGTGTCACGGTGGCAAACGAAGATGATTTTTAAGTAACTGAACCGGGAGCAACAATACAATAATTTTTTTTTTCCCAGACAGACCTTTGGACACACTGCTGTGTTCTAAAACCTCCAATCGTTGGTCCGTACGCGGTGACGTCACGTTGTTTTGCACTGCTGCCTGGGAGTGTCGGACTCGGAGGACTGAACGATTTGATAAGAGTGCTGTAGGCGTTCGGTTACATTATCACTTTATTATCAGTGGCCAGAGAAGTTGTGTATTTGGAACTTTCTGTTCTTAAACAGACAAAACAAAAATATAAAAAAACTTACGAGCTGCGGACAACTGGGAAAGGGTAAGTGAGGAGCTCCGTTCACCTCAATGAGCCGAACTGGAAATTTGTTTTGTTCTGTTTAGACATTTCTCTGCGGTTGTTTTGTTTTGTATCTAGTATGCACACGTTTCCTTTACAAAAATAGCAATAAATAAACCCACATAAATAAATACAATTTTAAAAAGCACAACTTTATGTCATGCATTTTCATTCAGTAATTAAATTTAACCAAAAATAAGAATAAAATGTACAGGAATTGAATATATTGGACATTTTAGGTTGGATTTAGCTGCTGCAAATGGTTGTGTTAGTCTTTTTTTAAAAAAAAATCATGTGACTCAAGTTGACCCTTGAGAATTTATTTTAAGCTTAACTTTTATGAAGTTGTTGAACTACACCAGCTACTTCCTGTTTGACATATTATACAATAATAAGTGCTGACACCTGGTGGTTACCATTAACTACATCTGATCATTAAACTCACACTTTTATATGATTACTCATTAAATGTTTTTTTTTTATTTTCACTGCTGAACTCATATTTACACCAAACAGTATCCAGAAGCTTTCAGTAATATTGTTTTTGCAGAAATGTTTGTATGTCACTTAAAAACTACAGTAAAGCCACATGATTTTTCATTATATACTACAGTACTCCTAATTATATATTACAAGCTTCTGATGCAAAGCAATGATTTGCAGTCACAAATAAAATTTTGCATTCATAATGTGTTAAAAACATTGTGAAGTTTTAGTTTAACATTTTAGACAACCTGTTGGCAGAGAGATGTGTTTTTGGGAAAGATGTGTGTCTTTTTGTAACAAGTGAATCTCCTTGTTTATTAAGTGATGCTAGAAATATTTAGATTTAAATCAGGATAAGTAGTGTTGCAGTTTTATCGGCTCAAACAGCTGTAACCTGACCTGTACCCGTTTCTCAGACCATGTGGCTGCCTTTGATCGGGATGACGGCCCTGCCGCACGTCGGAGGGATCTACGGCGGTTTTATTACACGCAGACAGGTGAAGACCTGGTACACGACCATTAATAAACCCTCGTGGCGTCCACCAAACGCAGCGTTCCCTGTGGTGTGGACGTGTCTGTACACCGGGATGGGGTAGGTGTTGCGCTGGCTTGGGTCTCGGCCACATGACGCTCCCTCCTCGGCTGAGGTTTTCCTTKTCGTTCAGGTACGGTTCCTACCTGATCTGGAAGGAGCTCGGAGGTTTCACAGAGGATGCCCTGGTTCCACTGGGACTGTATGGGCTGCAGCTGGCACTAAACTGGGCCTGGACTCCCATTTTCTTTGGTGCACACAAGATAAAATTGGTAAGTGTGACAGAGGAATGCTTAGGTATTATTGGGTGGGGAGATATACAAAACTTACAGGTTTTTCTGTTACATTTAGGCCCTGATTGAGATTGTTGTTCTCACGGGGACTGTTGGAGCCACCATGGTGTCTTGGTATCCCATCAGCCGCACCGCCACTTGGCTCCTGGCACCTTATCTGTCCTGGCTGTGCCTCGCCACTTCCCTCAACTACTGCATATGGAGAGACAACCCCGAGACGAAAGAAGAATAAAGAGCAATGATGTCCGTGTGCTTCCCCTTTTCTTAAAAATGCTGATTCTTTACAATAAATGTTTGACATCCAGTCACAGCTGAGCTTTTCGATTCTGCTGATATCAGAGTTAATGTTGTCATAGACCTGCCAGTGTGTGTTTGTTTGATAATACACAATGAGTTATTCAGAAACAGCCTCAACTTGATCTGCAGGTCACGGTCCTCGGCTGTTTGCTGCATTTTAAAACCTGACCAAGTGGCATTTTCCCTGTATTTTGGCCAATCTCTAAGAAATTCTCTGTTATTAATAAACTGGTTCATTTCCTTGCATATGCAAATGTTAATAAAATGATCCAAACTTTAGCTCTAATAAATGACCAGACGTCTTTAATAGCCACACTCAATATGATAATAGTTCAGGCTAATTGATGAAGTTGTACTTTTTGATCTTTTTACATGCTTTTTTTATACACCTAATCCCAAACAGGACTTGTCTTGTTCCAGAGTACACCTTGGATTAAAAAAAACATGTTTATTGGTTCCTGGTTTAGTTTTTTTTAATGCAACTATAGCTCTTCAGTGTTTGTGAAGGCATATGTATAGAAAAAAATACAACTCACAGTTATAGCAAGGATAAGCTTTATTTCCATACCCGCAAAACTAAAAAGAGAGAAAGTTATTTTTCAGGAGCTTTTTCTGGAACACCTTCTGGTGACTTGGAGGAGAATCTGTTTATTAACGTTTTCCATAAACCCTTCTTTTCTTCGTCCATGCTTTGCTGCATATTTTCTGTAAACACAAACATGGTGTAATAAGCAGCAGCTCGTTTTTAATACTTCATTCAACTGGCRTAGAGTTAGAAAGACTTTGAGGTTGTATACCTGACAAAAGCATTCGGCACTCTTCTTTTGTGATTCCTGTGAAACTTGTGTCTTGTGCACGAGGAAACTGAAACACAAATAAACATAAAAATCTGCAACTTTCGTCCACTTTATGCATATATTAGAAAAAAAATCAAATCTTTCTGACTTGTTTATGTTTGTGGACTCACTCTTTGTCTGTACACATTCCCATTAATACGGGCTAAACTTTCATACATCTGGTCACATTTCTCTGGATCTGCAATCTGAAGGGGAAATAATTAATTGCAACAAAGCAAATGATAACAACTAAATCAGTTTTTTTATTTGTCTGGACCAAGATTAGACTTTTTAAAAAATCTCATTAAATTATAATAAAGTACACCAGATTGTTTTCCAACAGTAGCTCAGGTTAGCTGCCGCACAGTTTGACCTCCTTACCTGCGTGTCTTCACCCTCGCGGAACGCAGCAGCGACTCTCTGCCGCAGAAACATTCCCAAATCACGGCCTTTCTTGGTCTCGTCTCGGGGCCATTCCTCGCACAGCTTCAGAAACCGACGATACCTGGTTGCAGACATCTTTTAGTGATGTAATATTTATACGTGCGAGCAAAGACAAGATTGACCTTTCTCGCACACCGTACTTGTTGTGTCACATCTAAACCTTCCCCCTCGTTCCGTTCCTCGCTGTCCGCGTGTGATTTGTTCCCTCTCYCTCTTTCCGGTTTAGCTCCTTGTGACTTTAGCACGATGAGCGGCTCAAACGTGAAAAAAGGCTCTTCTTCCAGGGCGATGGAGTGGATCAGCTCTGCCTGTCGGTTTGCAGCAGACAAAAATGACTTCAGAAGGTAAAATAAATGTTACTTTTATTTATTCATTGCGTTTACGTCAGGGTTAGCATCTAGCTAGCTAGCATCAGCACACCGCTCGGATTTGCCCTTGCTGGCTGTCACACTGAATTTCATTAGGAAGCCGAAACATGAAGTAATCCCACACAATAATTTMTATTGTAAATTACTTTACACGCTAAAATAACACAATTTAATATTTGCAATGGCTTACGAAACCATTTATTTTAGTCAGAAAAAACTACAAGGCTTCACTAAAAATATATCTCTTAAAAATGTGCTTGAAAAACTCAAAATATCTGTCAGATGATAAAGATTATCTGTTGTGTAAAAATACACAATGATGGATGATTGGAAAAAGTAAGTTTTAATATAGAACACAGAGTACAATAAACCAAAAGTCTTAGCTTTAGACTGCAGACTTTATTTTTAAAAAGTATAATATTTTAGCTCATTTTCTTCACTCTCAGGATACTTAGCCAAACTATAACCTCTCTGGTAAATATATGTGCTTACGAGAGGAGTTGTTAGGTGGTGTGTCGATGTGGCTGTACCAACCAGGTTAGTTTCTTCCTATAAGAATAATGTAAAATCTCTGTATTTGTTTTCTTTCTTTAGGAATCTCCTGGTGAACTTAGGTTTGTTCGCTGCTGGTGTTTGGGTAGCAAGAAATCTCTCCGATTTTGACTTGATGTCTCCTCAGCCGGTGACATAAAGTGGGCCCCGCATTGAAAACAAAACCAGGATGAAGGTGAGATGACCTAAACAGGAACTTCATAAAAATCAGTGGTGACCAGGCAGCTCAGATATGACCTACAGCTGATGTGTCAAGGCAAATTGTTTGCTTATTTGTGTCTGATGATGTGTTTTTCCATCCTTTCAGGTCTTGGACCAACACAGAAGAAATAAGGGACGAATACTCAAATGTTTCTGACTGTTTATCATTGAAGAAAAGACCCATCTGATTTACAGAAGTTATTTTGTTTTTATTTTATCTGAAAATTATTACATAGAAACGTCTTTATTATTGTGGTTTTTGAGTCCCATTGACATTACTTTTAGTCCACCCCGTTCAGTTTTTGCAGCCATGTCGGTTCAGGAGCTCTTTGTTGCTTCAGCTCGCACTTGTCTGACTGTAGGTAGAAAGTCTCTCTCAGTTTCTCAGAGTCTGGATCTTGCTGCTCAGGTCTCCGCCGTTAACGTGGGCTTGAAACCCGCTCTTCTTTACGACAGCAACAGCGCCAGCGCGGCGCAGGTCCAGCGGTACCTGAGCTCCTTGCAGTCTCTCCAGCTCGCCTCTGAATCCCTCCTCCTGCTGAACCTGAACGGAAACAGCGTCGTCGTCAACGCGGCCGCGGTCGGGTCACATCTAGAGCAGGCGCTTCACGGCCACGGCGTGGCTGTCGTCGATGTTCGCCACACGCTGGACGAAGCTGCCGTCACCAACGCTCAGAGGGTAGAGCTGAAGAGCACGATGGAGGGCTTGCTGCTGCTTCTGGAACGATTTCAGCAACTCCAAGAGGGAGAGGAATCCCTCCGTATTGACGAGGAATGTGAGGAGTGGAACCTGTGCACGGTTTTTGGCTTTTTGCTGGGTTTCCCCGTCGCCTACTGGTTCGATCAAACGGAGAGCTTCGAAAACTGCCTGTCCATGACTCCCCTGACGGTGATCACGGCCTCAGCCACGTGGCGGGTGGGCGGCGCCGGTCACAGAGCTCGTCTGTATTCCTTCAGCATCCCCGCTGCTCTGCAGGAGGAGACGCGGTCCGAGCTGGAGAACTGGAGGCTTCGTCTGCTGGAGAGATTTGAGCAGCAAACCGTCCTGAAGGATCTCAGCATCAGTCAGTCCACAGTCACTCTACCCTCTGTCACTTTGTGATGCAAATTAAAAAAAAAAGTCTTTTAAAAGGAAAATGATGTTGGATGATTTTGTCTGAATCAAATCTAGTGATCGCATGAGAAAACACAACCAGCCCCTCAGAACTTGGCTAGTTTTATTTGACCTTACTTTTAAAATATAATACAGGAAAATAAATGCAATGTGATCATTTGAACTGATACCAGTTAAAGCACTTCGTATATAAAGTTTAGTGTTTTCTAAAAAATGTCAGTTTGACATTTAAAACAGTTTCTTGTAAATAACCCGTTTGATTAAAAGCAGCATCAATATGCTGGTGTAAAATTACAATCAGTTAATCCTGAAAACCAGAGGTTCTCAAACTGCGGTCCGCAAAAGGTATCTTGGGGACCCTCAAAATTTTTTTACTAAAATGATAATTTGGTTTTTATTTTTAAAAATGCATGGAGAACAATGAACTAATAAAACACATAATAAAATTAATAAATATATATATATATTCCCATGGCATTTAGGGGTTGAAATGACAATATATTATATTTTAAAACGGTATGGGGTTTATGAGGGGGTCCCTGGAAAGTTTTTTTGCCCTTATAAGGGGTCCCCAGACCAAATGGCTTGAGAAGCCCTGCTGAAAACATCCTCCAGTGCACCTGGAGGTTTCATCGCAGTGTCAGAGAGGCTGAAGTTCTGACAGCACGTCACCACAGCGGCCGCTCACTTTCAGCTCAGCCAGGTGGTCTGCTCTGGTGGGTCCGATGTTCAGAATGGCCACTGGCATCTTTCTGTCGCTCGCCGCCAGTAAAAACCTATATCCCGAGTACACCTGGTGGACAGGCAGAAGCTCACCTTAAATGCCAAGATCCAGACTAAAAATAAAAAAAGCGTTACAATCCAGTGACGGCTGTTTGTCGTCTACCTGTAAGGACGATCCTACAACCAGCACGGAGTCTGACTCTGCCAGTCGGTCGTGGACGAACTGGACCGTCGCTCTGTTGACGGTGTCGCCGAAAAACGTAACGTCTGGCTTCAGTATCCCACCACAGCGCTCGCASGGGGCGACTCTGAAGCCGAGGACCTGCTCCTCTTCTAGGAGGACGTCGCCGTCCGGAGCCACGGCGCCCGCCTGAACTCTCCACGCCGGGTTTAGAGAGATGAATCGTTTCTGTAGGTCCTCCCTCGCTGTGATGTCGCCACAACCCAGGCACACCACTCTGCAAAACAAAAATACATATTTTAATAAAAAAATCACAACTTCAGTGGTTTATAATAATAAAATAAGCCAAATTAACAGATTCTAAAATATTTTGTGTGGTAGTAGCTGAGACTGATCCTCACCACACATTGTGAGCACAAGATCTTTGTTTAAATTTCTGCCAGTGTTTGCAGTCAACCCTGTCTGTTAGCAAAATATCTTTTTAACAGCTGGATGGATTGTAATGAAAATTTCAGGAAATAACCACTGGATGCAAGCACAACTGATTATCTTACAGCTCAGTCAGCTGAGCATATTTTGAGCCAATATTTGCTGTGGTAGTAGTTGAGAGTGATGTCACCTGTGGGAGCAGCCGTGGAGCTCCGTGAGCCGCTTCTGTCCTGCTTTTGAATGCAGAGAATCCACATTCTGAGTGAGCAGCCAGTGCAGCTTCTCCCCGTCCTCCCAGCTCCGTAGCACCCTGTGCCCCCGGTTCGGCTGGTGGGAGGAGAACTGCGGCCACCCGACAAAGTTCCTGGCCCAGTACCGCTGGCGGGACTTGTCGCTGCGGGTGAACTCCGCGTGCTGCATGGGTCGCCTGTCCGTGCGTGCGTAGAGCCCGACCCCTTCCGAGCGGTAGTCCGGGATGCCCGACTCGGTGGAGAGACCCGCTCCGGTGATGACGAACATTCGCCGGGCTCGGGCCACGAAGTCCCGCAGCAGCTCCAGGGAGGGGGCGTCCGTGGAGCTGCAGGCGGGGACGAAGTTCGGTTTCCCCGCAGGGACCGAGGAGGCTGTCCTAGTTGGAGGAACTGCCCGCCACGGCAGTCTCATCTGCAGCAGGACAAACTATGTTATTAAAAACGGACACAAAATTTACATTAGACAAGGAAATTAAAATGTCAACTCACTGCAAGGCTGAAGTTGTACGTTTCAACCGTTTTTTGTGTTAAAAGCAACGAAGCGCTCACATACCGATAAAACGCGGAAACGTTGTTAGCCTAACAGGAAGTACTTATTTCAATGCAACACCAAACACTGCCACGCTGCAATCTGGGAGTTGAGGCTCCACCCACTTCAGTATAAAAGACCGATATATCCGATCGCCTTTCGTTGTGACATATCAAGTCACATATCGGGGTCTCTGTAGATAAGTGGCGTGTCACAAGGAAAGGCGATTCTAAAGCAACACACGTGATTTGACGGACTTTGTTAAAGGGACACACCTGACTGGACAGGCAAAAAAGGGGCGATACCGTATGGCACCATCTGATTGGACAAGAACAAAAGGGGCGTTACTGTACGGCACCACTTTTTCTGGAGAACCATACTTGGGTCACATTTCTCCTGGTTAATGTTGGGGTCAGGGTCAGGCTGAGATCAAGCAGGCTCTTAGGATACCGTCATGTAGGCCTTGTAGCCCACAGTGTTTATGCTTTTGACACGCCTAGTCTTGTGACACGCCCACTTCGATTCCGCAGACACCCCTACTTGGTCAAGGTTGTTGCCCCTGCTGTCTCTCTGTTTTTCTGAATTTACCACAGCACAATGGTTCATAATAAAGTGAGATGTTGCGTTGTTGGCTGCATTACACCACATGTGTCGATGTATACTCTTCCAGTCTCAGAGAACAGAGATGCGTGKCTTTCTTTTATTTATAATGGCAGTGTCCCTGCGACATTACCGAAGAAAGTTAGAGTTTGCGCAGCTCATTTCACAACAGAGTCCTTTCAAAACTTACAGCAGTACTTGACCCGATTTGCACAAAAACTTCTGCTGAAGGAAGGTTCTGTTCCATCTATTCGACAACGTTCTGCAGATGACGTTAATGTAAGTACAGACTGTGATGTCTTTTTAATTATTTATTACCATTCTGTATGAACACGTTTTCTCACGTACCTCTATTGTTTAGCTTTAGCCTTGTGCTAACGGAGAGTTTGTGTTCACGGCTTGATCACGGTTTAGCGCAGGCTATTGTTTATCAATAGTTTGTGTTAAATGAGAAACCGAAAAAAATATAAACMTCCACACCTCTTTTTTGACTGAGGCTCAAAGTTATCTGACAAGCAGTAAAAAATCTACAGGAAGAAGTAAATAAAAATAGGCCAAATTTGAATGGAGATRGGCGGCAATGAAGAGCGGTGAGAGCAGGACTTTATTAATTTGATCTGTGACTTTGACAGGTTTGGATTTTATAGTGAGTGTGTAGCTTTKAGTGTTAACTCTTCATTTTAGCCAATTTTAGTGTGTTTTAACTCAAAACAATGAGGCAATTCTTTTTAAACAAGAAGCACGGAGGTCTGCAGAGGCAGAACGACAACACGTGTCTTATGTCTCTCCTCCCACTCTTACAGTCAGAGAAAAAATATTTTTTCTCAGGATGTGCTTTTTTACGTGAGAAGTGCAGTCCTACAGCAACTTTTCACCATTTTTCCTATTTTCCACGTAGAGGAACTCATTCTAGTTTCCCCCAAACCAACATGTCAGCCTCCATCTACAACATGGTCACGTGACAAAGTACCCGGCTGTTCGCTGCCTCAGTGTCTCATCTGCCAGTACAGTGGGGCTAAACTCAAAACAATTAGGAATCACTGCTAGGTTGTGTTGACATGTTGTCTTGGCTGAAATATATGGTCACAAACTTTAGTCCGGCTGTGATATAATTATGATTTATTACAATTTAGATATAATTGTTCTGTTATATAACATCTTTCATTAAGCATAACAGCATTTTTATTTCTGTCTGTTATCTTACAGGCTGTAACATCTACAAGAAGAGACGTCGCTTGCCAAACCGAAAATGAACAACAACAACAACAACGAACTGTGGCTACACAACTATCTCTGCGAACTCTTCAGCCCAACTTCAGATCCAAAGGTGTGTAGCTTGGACTTTATTTGACTAAATATAATTGTATTTTACTCTTAAAATTACTTTGATATAATAATAATCAACACATATATAAACATTTAAACTCAGCTCAACATACTGTGCACAAATGTCAGACACCCATTAGTGTTTTTCATCATACCTTTTTAAATGAACAGCTATATTTTAGTCCGCTTCTTTTCCGTTACGGGTGCGTTTTTGACATTTTCTGTATCTGACAAGATGTCAACGCTACTGTGTCAACCAAAGAAGTTGGAGTTGGCGTGCCAAAAATTCCCTTCTCTGCACATCACACAGTCGTCATGTCTACTCCTATAAAGACACCTGGTCTGGGAGGGCACGAGCTCAGTGTTGATTCCTGAAGAGCTGGACCCCACCTATGATGCTGATGCACCTGTCACTGACTAATCCACATCGGCATGCAACATTTGGTAAGGGTATATAAATATATTTATTTTAGAACTTGGCCACTTTTTATGAAAAATATATATTTTTAGAAATGACACAAAGTATGTACGAAATGAGTGAACTGACTGTTTAATTATACACAGGTTATGTTGATGACTTGGTGTGTCTGATTATGGGATCAGTCTTTCAAGAACCGGAACCATATCGTGTAGAGCTGCTCCAAATACAAGTCCCTCCAGTCCTGGCTGCTGAGTATGATCATCTAGAAATGGAAGAGGTGATCAGTAAGTTTGTCTCACGTTTCAACCAATCAGAGGCAGTCTGAAGCCGATGTACTGTCCTTGGCGGTCAGGAAACTCGAGACGAACCCGCAGGACGACACACGAGAGGAGAACTACTCTGATCCTGCGTCCAAGAAATCCCCAACACTAACTGATGAAGCCTCCATAGGCCATAAACCTATAACGACTGAATGAAATAATTATTAGTTTGTGTAATAAAAATTATATTTTAAAAAAATGTGATAAAATTTTTATTTCCTATTGCTTCATATCAAGAATAGGCATTTAATTCATTTTGTTGCATTTTATAGTACTATTATGCTAGACAATTATTGATTTATATCCATAAAAATTGAGAAAGAATGAAAAAATGTACAACAGGTCGCCCTATACCATATGTTATGGTCATTGATAAAAACACCTAATTTAACATCTTGGATGGTTATATCTGTTAATCATATATGACCACAAATAAACTGGTGAAGATCTCTCCAAAAAGATTGTACAATTTAACATGGAAAACAGATGATCCAAATCCTCAACTACTCTTTCACAAAACACACACTTATCTACACACTTGATTTATAATTATTTCAGAGACRGATTCTTCATTAGTCTAGTTCTATCATCCTGCTTTTAAACTCACTGCTACAGCTGAGATAAGGTTAATTGATGTGATACAGTTTATCACATCCAATGACTTTAAGGGTGCCTTTTACTTTTATATTGTTGATTTATTTTTAATTGTAACAGGCCATTGTGCCAAATAATGACCCTCAACTGTATGTTTAAAACTAATATTAATAAATTTACCCAATGAACATGTGCAATATTGATAACCACCAACAGTGAATTTAGAGGGGTGTTTAATTTTTTTCTGATTTAGTGATAGGCCTATWTAACTAAAAGGGACAGAGCATCATGCAGCCTTCATGACATAAAACAATAGTGTTATGGTGACAAAAAAATACATTTGTCACCATAAATCCAAAAGTTGACACCATAAGTCAGATTACATAGGCATATGTTCTGTATTTAAAGAAAACCATCACTTCCTTGTCTTGATGTTTCAAAGTGTTAAACACTGCCACCAACTGTTCAGGAGGATTATTACACCCCAAAATTTGTTCCACTGTGGGTGTGTACAGCAGGGTGGCCAATGGGGTGAACAAAGATTTGTCTGTGGTGGCCATGGCCACCCCTGGCCCCACCCGTGTACAACTCTTACTGTAACACTGGATATGGAAATATTTAAAAAGTGTTCACACCCTACGTACACAACACTGCGATATAATTTTAAAAAGGTGGTAAAAAAAAAACTAGTAAAATGTGTAAAAAAAACCCTTTTCCTCTGTTTTCTCATTAAATGTGTAACAATTTTAAACAGGATTTTCATAAACAAAAGCATATGACTTATTTCATTCTTTTAAAGTTTTTAATTATTTACTTTATATTATTTTGTACTTTTGCAGGACACAAAGGTTATACATGTTGGATGAAAACAGAAAACACGGCTTCATTCAGTTTGGATTTTCATAACAGTGAAGGTCGTTAGTCTTCAGCCATAGAAACGTACGTGTGGATGATGAGCTAACTGATCCGAGAAGCGCTGAGGGAACTTGAGTATTTTCCGTCCTCTTTAGAATATACTGCACACGTCTTTGTTACAAAACTCCAAGATATCTGTCGTGAGGGAAAATGAACAAATAGAAATTAGAAACCCAACGTGCACAACAATCGTGTGGTGCGTCCCGATTGTGGTCGTACCAGAGAATGTGCAGTTGAAGACGGTTTCCAGATGAGCGTGAAACTGCTCTCCCAGGATGGAGTGGTAGTCCATGTGGCTCGTGTGAACAAAACACCGTGATGCATCTTTAAACAGCAGATCACTTTCTCCGTACTGATGAGACTCGAAGAGCTTGAACTCTGTGTTTGGGTTGGCTGCCAGCGTTTCCTGTGCCAAGTTTTAAATAGTCACATTTAATTTCAATAAATAAACAAATACAATAAAAGCTAATAAAAGGGTAAACAAACTATACAACATCGAGCAGAAGCTTTTTCAAGTAGGAGCTAATGAATTGTTGATCTCAGCAGGATTTAAATGAACACAAATCTTCATTCAAACATAGCTGACCTGTGATTTCATGAGGAAGTCGTACACTCGTGCAGCGAGCACCGGCCGGGTCATGACTGTGTTTGGTGGTATGGMTCCCAGGTTACAACTCTCCCACTCTGACAGGGCAGCACGACGCCCGTCTGAGCATAGCAGCTCAAAATCAGACGACGTCCAGCCCTCTGCCCACCCGGTGGAATTCAAACCTGAGCGGAAACAACACGAAATGACCACCGGCGACTCGACAGATGTGCCACTACTGTGTCATATGCATTTCCTCACTGAGGATGTTGGTGTGGAGGTTGTGCTGCTCCAGGAAAGCCACGTCACCGTAGCTTTTCCCACTTGGATCTCCAACCAGACATCTGAATAGTGAAAATAGGAGTAAAAAGAATAGAGGATTAAAATGCTCAGTTTATTCCCTGCAAACATCATAAAATCAAAAATATGAGACTTTTGCTGGCAAAATAAGTCACATAATTCTCCATTTTAAAAGCTTCAAAATTATATATTCACAAAGAAAAAAAAACAAGGAAATGTGTTTTTGCTAGATTTTTTCTTTGTTGTAACAATGCAGTTTGATAGAAGATCTAGCTAATTTTTCATGAGCGTAACCCACATACTAAGCTCTACAGCTCATCCCCCAAATACACGTTCCTTACAAATGTGGCACAATTTAAAAGGGAAACTAACAGTCTTCCTAAGTGTATAAGATTTGTTGCCAAGAAGCATTGTTACAACAAAGAAAAAAATGTACCAAACACAAAAGTCCTTACTTTTTTAAGTTTAGTTGATTGAAATTTGGCTATTTCCCACCTGAATAACAATAAGCTAGTTTTATTTATGAGAGTGCCAGTTTGAAAACTTGATTTCTTATAGAGTTTGAGGGATGTCATCGAGAATTGCAGCCATTAATATAAAAAMAGTAATCACAAAGCTTCACAATGACCAGAGAGTGGCAAATAAAAATGGTCAAGTACAAAAGAAATAAGGGTTATAAGACAAAGGCTTCTTTCTGAAGACATTCCTGTTAAGAAAACTTTGATTAAAAAAGGTAGATAGGAATAATATAGCATCRTCAGTCAGTGGTGGATGTAGGATTTTTCTGAGTAAGGTGCCATCAAGGGATCACAATATTCATAGAGGGGCCAAGTCTTTGTTCAGCATCCTTTCACACAAATCCCCAGTTTTGGTAAGGTGTTTACATTTCACCAGTCGTACATGTTCAAACACTTGTAATGTAATGTATTTTTTTATAGGGTACCACTTTACAATAGGCTCCCCTTATAGATGGATTTTAAATATTTTATAGATAGGTTATTAATTCATCTGTAAACACTTTATATATTATTTAAAAAGTGTTTATTATGCGTTAATTAAGGTAAAAAAGAGACTAAACTGTCTGGTTTCTTTCCAAACACTGAGCCAAATCTGTTTGTATATTAAACATTTCAGACTAGTTTACTACCTTGTAAGCACAATAATGATTAGGAAATGCATATTTTAACATATAATAATGTACTGCATTATAAATATCCACAAATATTAAAGGGATCCCAATTGTACAGTATAAAACTGTACACTATTTTAGATTGGGTTGGATTATTTGGTATGTTAACATGACTTTTTTTAGTTTTTTGATACATCATCATTGTTGATAGTAGTTACAGGTTTGAACAATAATTTCAAATAATGATTATCAACACTAAATTTCAAAAATGATTTTTCACATTAAAGACTAACTTTTGGCATTTATAAATGTTTATTTGTCATTAATAAATAGTGTACTGTATTACATTTTATGATAAGCCTGCTTTTGACAGTTCTGAATAGTTAWAATGCAGTCATATACAGTACAATATTAATATGTTAAAATACGTGTTTCTTATCGTTATTATGCTTAAAATGTAGTAACCCAGTCTGAAATGTTTAATAAGCAACTTTAGATTTAATACGTAGGTGAACAGATTTGTCTCATTATTTGGTAAGAAACTGGACAGTTTCATCTTTATCGTCCTTAATTGTTACATAATAAACACTTATTAATGATTTATAAAGTGTAAACTTTACAGATGAATTAGTAACCTATCTATAAACTAAGCCTTCTAATAATAAGCCTTAATAAGCCTTCTATAAGGGGAACCTTATTGTAAAGTGGTACCAAAAAAGGCGTGTACAGTAAATTCTCAGTCAATTCCCAGTTTTTCATACATAGATAGAATACTCTCAAACACATAACGTGTGAAAAAATCCAACCATCATTTGTCAGATGAAAGCCTTTTTTGTTACAGGATTGTTCAAATTTTCTTAAGAAGAGAAGACTTCTGTCAGCTTGATTCATTCTGGACTTTACTATTTGACTCATTAGAGCCTCTAGTGTTTGAACCTGGAACTGCATCCACCATCATCACTCCCAGGTTAAGGACAGATCAGTGACAGGACAGGGGCACTTCAGGGGGCCAATGCCCCTGTGGCCCCGCCCCTAGAACCGCCCAATCAGTAGATGGTGTCATTATAGGCTTTTACTCAAATCTCAATTATGACAAAAAGCAGCATTTTTACTGGATTCTGTGTTCAATCATTTTGCCAGCACAGATTACATCTTTTCTTTGTTGAGGCATCTCTTTAACCAACAGGTGAACAAAAAGACCCTTACCTTAAGGCGCCCATGTTGCCATAGTAACGCTCATTGTGGTTGTCCGTGCAGCGTTTGGTTGCAGCCTCCCCCGTTCCTCCCATGCACACCTTGCACAGATTCCCCGTAGAGCCAGGAAGACAGCCTTTCCAAAACACTTCATTGTACACTAGCAAAAACCAAAACAGTGTCACAGACTGCAGTTCACTGAGGTTTGATATAAAAGATAAAAGGTGAAATGACAACAAATCACCAGGATGAGCTGCAAAAATTAAACGTTTCAGAACCCAGCTGAGTTGAACAAACTGTGACATTTTAGAGTCCGTACCTTGGTTTGGATCACAGGGGGTGCTGACGTTGTGCTCCAGGCTCAGGGAGTGTCTGTACGGCAGCAGCCAGCCTGCAGGGCTGTACATGTGGCCGTGACACGAGCGCCGGCCTCTCAGATTCCCCAGGAACACGTTCCTGCTGGAGCGCTTCGCTACCGCTACACCCACGACCGAGGGGAAGACTGGGAGGAGACAAACATCGAGGGTGGGGGGGGTGTTCCACGTAAAGACAACAGCAGCAACAAACACCGTCACTTCAACACGTTACTGCTGTTCGTCTTCACCTCACCGTCTGTCTCTGGATGAGCTGATCCTTCGGCAAAAACGCACGTTCTTCCTGATGGAAAACCACAAGTTAATGAGACAGCTCAAAACAAAGTTCTAAAGGGATCCATGATTAGTTGTAACATTAGACTTTATTTGATAAACATTTATTTTAACTGTAAAATAAAGACTGTAAAAATACTGTAGGATGTTTAGTTTCTATAATTTTTAAACTAATAGTTTAAAAATATATTACATGGAAGGGGCCATTTTATTTACACGCAAAGCATTCTGGGTAAATGATGACGTGGATAGGTCCTCGGTGTGAGCGAGCTATATCCATCCTGAAGGATAATCTTGGACAATATCTGACCATCGACTCTTTTAAATGAAACCAGAGAGCGTTGACAGAGAGGAGRAGGTAGAAATGACTCAGCCTGTAACTGAAAATATGGATGGAGGACAACAGAGCTGCTTCATGGAAGAAGAACCTCAGCTTAACCTTGTCTTTGAGCTAGTGCCTTATACTGTATGTATTAGCTCGGTATTAGCGCAACAAACTAACAAGCTAAACTGAGGTCCTCCATCCATATTTTCAGTTACAGG